GAGGATGAGGTAGCTGCAGGTGAGAACAAAAACAGGAACAGAGGCGAGAGTGAGGAGGATGAGAACAAGAACGATGAGGACGAGGAGAATGAGAATGAGAATGAGAACGAGGGTGAAGATGGCAACTTTGCTTCATGTGCAACATCCAAGACCAATGCTGCAGGGTTTGAGAATGATGACAATGTGTTTTAATAGTATAAAGATGACTCTGAGCAGGCTGCTGCTGCTACTGCATGGGGCTTGGTGAGCACATGAGCCTTTGCAAGGAAGTAGGGTATTCTCATTTTATACTAGGAGCTTAAGCTTGAGTGTAACAAGTATGCCTCTAAAGACTTCACTGTGATCAATGACAAATACAATGAAGGTGATGCAGACAGAGCTGATGGTGAAGACAAAGCTGATAGTGAGAACAAAGCTGACAGTGAAGATGAAGCTGACTTTGAAGAGTTTGTACTAAGGCTGAAGGTAAACTACTATGAACACATTTTATCTCATAGCTTACATCTTACATAGGCACAGGGTAAATGTGCACAAAAAGTTTGTAATAAGGCAAGTGCCACTATCTTAAGTCTTTCACAATATGACTTAATGCAATTGCACAGCATTCTAAAGTTGACATAGATGCACCACCTCTGCCATCGCACCAACATTGACAGAACACTTCATCAGCTGGTGGTGCCTCAGCCCACTTATCTGTGGCTTATGAGGGACTCAGACTGACTGAGCTAGTCAGAAGTGACGGAGGCCAAATCTTGCTGCAAAGTCTTCATAAAGACCTTCGCCATATTCTTCATTTGTCTTTCTATCTGATCAAATATGAGCTCTTCAACAGTGAGGCTTTTTCTGATCGCACTCATCATCAAAAGTACAAGTTTGCCAAGAACGTCTTGATTTCTGTCGCAGAAGCTGAAAACAACCAGGTTGTTTTAGATCGCATCAGCAATAATGTGCAATGGACTTGCAGCATCTTGACCCTGGTGCGTTCACATTTAACTACGTGTACAATTGCTAATGTGCTTTAGCCTCTCACACGCCTAAGTCAGTATTGCTTGAAAATGAAGAAGACTGCAATGTCAAAGGTTTCTGGTTGCTATAAGCTATCTTCAAGTGACCTGCAGTTTAGAACAAGAGTTGACAGGCTTGTTGCAGGCCAGCATTTTATTTTTCCTAGAGATGTCATAGTTTATACACTTTATATGTTGTGATCAATTCTGACTGTTATTACTTTGCAAAGGCATGTCGACACCTCTAAGCCTTACTTTCACTTTTGCATTGCTGATGTTATACAAAACTTTTTCTTCGAGACACATCAGAACTGCGCTAATATATGGGCTGATTCACTACAGGAAGAGTGGAATGGTGAAGTTATATGCCAAATTCCACCACCACTTTTCTGTCTCACACTCACTGCAGTGTGCATCTCACTTTTTTTAATACATACCTCACTGCTGATTTGCTTTATAGATCCAGTCTACTTTGAAAGATTTCAACTCTTTCAGGTCAAAACCCTATGAATTTTCATGTAACAGGGGATGGCCACATCAATGACTTCAATCGCTTGAAAGAGCAGTAGCCTGGTGCAGCCATAAAGGTCTTGAAAGATCTTTATAATTTGTGCATGTGAGTGTTTGACTGATGACTGCACTCTTTGTGCTAACTTTGGTTGTAGCCAAGGAAGGCTCTCAGTTGCAGATCTAGCTGGTGGTAAAGCTATCAAGGTTATTGATATTGATGTCATAGATGAGTTGTGACTTCTTTTCTTTCATTTTCTTTTCTCTCTACTTCTCTTCTTTATACCAACTATCTTTCATTTCTGACCATTGATACATTAATGCTTGCTTAATCAATTTTACATTCAGTGTATTCTTTCAATTATGATCAGATAGTATGTTTCAATCAGGCAAATTTATTACATTAAGCGTGATGAGTTGTGGTGGATATGATGACTATATATAGAATTAATAAAAAGCTCTCATTGAATATATACTAAATTTACATTTAATAAATAAATGAATCAAAACTTATAGCTGAATTTACAATTAATACTTTATGAATTATTACAGAGTAGTAAATAACAAACTATTAACAGTCTCCTAGAACTTGGTTCAAATACTTCTCTACTTTCTCAAGAGATGAGAAAGCACTAAATGCCAAGAAAGACAAGTTGCTCAAAGGCTCAAAAGTTGTGGGCAGCAGGTTATGGGTCACAAAGTGCAAAGAGAATTTTTGGGCGACCAAACTGCACTGTCAAATGCTTGACACCTTGTCCATCTTGAGTAATACATTCTTTGATAATAGTTAGCAGCAATTTGTCGACTCTGTTATGACAGAGGGTTCTTTGCAAGCCTGAAGCTTGTCTGATCGCCTTATCCGCAGATAAGGTTAGAGCAGAATAAAGAATTGTGAATTTACAAAGGAGCTGAAAGCTGGAGTGCTACTGTACATGCGCGGGGTATATATACTACTTGCTCAGCCTAACCTAAGGACTAGTCTACTAGTCAAAGGGACTGCGGGTGAGTCAAGGAAGCTGTGCTTTATGAGTCGAAAGTGAGTCGTACTACTAATCTTGAGTCAGAGACAAAAGGGGAAATGATATCCCACGCCACCATGCCCATCATAACAGACTCTGGCTGCGAGGACTATGAACTTGATGGTGTTGCAGTATTTGTAGCAGTTGACATATATCTAACTCCACAATGTGAAGAGGAAAGTTCCCCAAAAATCTTTTTACACTATGTACTTTACTAGGAGAGATATATAGTGGTAAAATATAAAAACTTTAGCCTCTGATCATGTTTGAAGTATATGAGCATACATTGTTGTATGTTG